TAAATCAACGAAGCTAAGCATGTCATCATGACTATAATTTACGTGATGTGACATGACAGTAAAGATGTACTGTGGTAATTTTTGAGAGCTCACAGTATTATTGTAGTATCAAAAATTTATATGGTTCAGTTATAAAGGCAAATTGTTTCATTCATACTGAGATGTCTGACATCTGAGGGCTTCCACGTTACATTAAAAAACGTCTTCCATATTCAAACAATTTGCACACCCTGTTACCATTATTTTGTTTGCTGAATGGAAAGTGGAGCACAGGCAAGCACAGCTTTTTGATGTGAAAATGATCTGTAGGGGAATATGAAGTACTTCATTGTGGGTGGTTATAAGAAACAGTTCAACTAGGATAAGGGAAGTTATCTTTGGGAACAAACAACTATGAACAGGATGTCCAAATTCTTTGCTCTGATGTTATTTAATATCCCATTTGCTTGCATTCCTTCTGTCAGTTTGATTTTCAGCCAACAGAAAGAAAAAGCATATGAGCAAAGAAGAAATGATGGAAAATATGGCAAAGAATATTTCTATTATAGGTTATCTTTAACTAAATTTTACTATCATATAAAAAATAAGACCTCTGAAACTCACCCAGTTTTGACCCAAAGATCTTGGAGAAGTAAAAAACAAATTGACAGTATATATAAAATATTATTTATTTTTTTGGCAATTTTAAGCCCTAGAAATTCAAGCCTTATGTGCTATTTTATTCTTATTGGGAATAGAGGAGGTTCCTAAATAGAACAGGATAGAATGACTTCTTCCCATAAAGGACCTTGCAAATAAATGTTTAATTAGATTTTTATTACTGCTATTGAATTTTATGCAACATACGCTGTCTCTTAAAATACATGTTCATTGAAAATGTGTTTTATTCATTTACGCATTTTTTGTAATAGCATTTAAAAGCCTGTTAAAAATAAGAAACTGGCCATGAGTTGAAATTTTTCAATCAGCAAAAACCACCAGTTCCCATTTACTCAGTAGCATATGAGCTACTAAGTTTCTCTGTTTCAATACTTCCCTGCCATGCAAGAGAACTGCAACTATAAATATACTTTTATCTGTTTAATCAATGAGGATTTCTTCATAAGTAGTACTATATTCTTATAGGTGAAAACTAGTCTTAAATAGCATCAAATCACTACGGAATTTTTTCATCACAGTTTCTGATGTGATAAGGTAATTTAACTATCAGCTGACAAGATATTAACTTTCTGAGAACAAGCAAGTATTCATATTTACAATTAAGCCACCCAATTTTGTTTCCAACAAAGTATTAGGCAAAATAAATTCTAAACACCAGGACACGTATCTTGATAGAGGGAATCCTTAACAGAAAAAAAAAGTAAAGTGTCTGCATTTCTGAAGCTACTACATTTGTTTATCTGTGTATGTTTTTTATATACATGTGGGATTTAAAACAAATGTGTGCTTCCAGTCTGGCACTTTTAGGGTATCTCTGTCTGAGCTCCAGGAAATATGTTGTTTACATAAGCCTCGTGGCAAGCATTAAATTAGTCATGTAATACATTGCTTTTTCCAATTAACATTCATACCAGGTAGAAGAAAAAGTAAATCTCTTGAGTATCTGTTTTGAAATGAAATAGAAACCGATGAGGAAAACTTAAGTGAGTATCCCACCCCAGACAACTCTAGAAAACAGCTATTTTCACATAAACACAACACAATTTCTTCCAATATCTATAATTTGTTTTAGGCAAATGTCCTAGAGGCTTTCTTCATTTCTTCGTTCATTCAAAAAGTTTACATTATACAGTGTTCAACAACTACATAAAGTCGTGTGCCAGGGCTGCCATGGCCCGTTAATGTTTTGTGCAACATGGGGAGAGATGCTCAACTCCATCCGATTTAGCTGGTTCTGGCAATACAATAGAGTATGTATTTGATTTCCTCTTTCTTTAAAGAAATACTATTTTTTTTTCTTTTTCTTTTATTTCAGCATATTATGGGGGTACAGATGTTTAGGTTTCGTATGTTGTCCTTGGTCCCCCCCCAAGTCCGTGTTTCAAATATGTCCATC